AAATTCCATTAAAATAGATGATTTTGTATTGAAAAAATCATACATGTACAAAAACCCCACAAATCTTTCTCCACCTGTGTGAAGTAAATTCACTCCTATTCAAAACCTCCAGGGACGCCTTCTAGCGGTAATGTTAATGTTACGTGTGCTATTCAATCAGCCTGTATTTACACTCAATCATATTATTCATTTTTTCTCGTAAATTCTCTAAATATATCCATACTGGTAACAGGGAAAGTTTTATTGGGAAAACGGCATAGCAACGACAGATAAAATTGATAGCAAATCTCGGTACATAGCCTGTAACAACAGTTTTAGACGGTCGAATGTTGATTTTGGAGAAACATATCTTGGTATTTTTTGCAAGAATCCCAATTTGAAAGCTATTCCTCGGTAAAATATAGTAACAATTATAAAATATACTAACAATTAATTACTTTTCATTTTTTACTTCATTTGGTGCAGGTAAAAAATATTTACTTATGCATGACCTTTCTACTTCCCTTAATTACATTTGCATCTACTAATACTGATTTCTTATTCACTTTAGGGCTAGAGCATATGTGTAGCTTTCAGATGTCACAGGATCACTCAGTGCAAATGCAATTGGTGAACCAGTTGAGAAACTATTATTTACAACTTCTCAGTCTCTGATGGAGGAAACCAAATTTGTAAGAAATCCAACCTAACTCAAATATTTTTCCATTCAATACATATTTTACTCGAATAATATTAATACAATTTAAAATTAACATACATGATTCAAAGACAAATTTCGAAGCAATCATTAAAAAAATGCAGGATACTAAACGAGCTTTCTACTTAAAAACATCGCAAAATGAACATAATTCATCAAGTTACAGATTTGATATCATCTCTGTAACAAACTTAGACTATGCAAGTCCAAGACAAGAAATCCAAACAAATATTGACCATACAAGTTTTGAACCAAAAATCCAAACAAAGGTTGACAGTCAAGTTGTGGTTACAGCAGTAGGAAAAAATGTTAATACAGACTATCGAGAAGATTGGTCACCTCCAGCGAAAAAAGCCATTTTCAAATTTTCCAATGATAGTTCCAGTTTGAAAGTGGCTTGTGATGAAAACATAAGTTCAGACACAAATCCATTTGCTCAAAAAGAAAAACTGGAATAAATGGTGGTCGAAATCTTTTCTATGAAACCAACCTTTTGACAAGAGCATGCTGTTTCGTTTTGTGAAATTTGTCTTTTTTGTAAATTTGGTCTTTGATTTCTATTTTATTGAGTACGTGTAATTTCCTGATTAGAAGTTTCCAAACAAAAAAGTAATGACAAATGAAGTATATGGAATGTAATCCCTACATCGTCCATGCCAAAAAACAGTCATTATTTAGTTTATCTTGGCTATATTTTGTAATTAACGATGATAATGAAGTTAATTTTTATTCTCTCTTATCTATCATTGATTATAATCCAAACACATGATTAACTACGATGAATTTACAAATCACAATCAAGCAAATCAATATGTATACTATTATCTCAATTATTTGCTGGTTAGTTCCTCGCCAATAATTCTATCTTCACATTTATTTTCAAACATATTCAATACATGCGCTAACCAAACCATAATTCATGCACAGCTCGTGCATCGCACGTAGCATAGATTAGTATTTTAAAAGTTGTGAATGTAGATGGCAAAAAGTAAAAAGTCAGGAGACAAACGTTCCTAAATAAAATAAAAGAAATACTTGTTGTGGCACTGTTTTTATGGAGTCGTGCTCAGTAATTGTTTTCCATTTTTTATCTTTTATCTTTTTTATTGAATGTTATAATGCTCTATTCACTTTCACACGCAACCATCATTTTCATTTCTCTTTCTATTTTTTATTGACTTTCACATGTAACCATAATTTTCATTTCTCTTTCTTCTCTCCGTCTTTTCTATTTTTTACACAACTATCCATGCTCTTTACTCCACTTCCCCACACAACTAAGACAATAAAAAATTTATTTGTCCTTTTTCATTGAATTTATTGTACAAAACGACATCGTTTCCTTACATTGAATGGCAAAACAACGTCATTTTATTCCATTAATACGATAAGATGATTGAATATATCTTATATATAATTATAGAAAATAATAATAATTTAATTAATAATAATTAAATCTTGATAAATGTATATTATATTTACTCATTATCTTAAATGTTTGAGGTGAATTTTTTTTCCAAAAATGAAAAAATCAAGATAATTACTAAATCGAGAATCCTAGTTTTAAGTATTATTCTTCTCAACTGCATCTTGATGGTATTTTATCATGCAAAAATTTAAATGTTAGAACGTTGAATAAGAGATAATGGAATAAAGCACAATCTCAAAAAACTAAGTGAACCGAATTATATCTATCATTTTACACCAATATACTAATAAAAAGCCTAAATGATTTAGCAAATTAAAGAACAAAAAAAGAACTGCAACCAAAAAAAAAAGTTATTATAAATTTTTTTAATTAAATTGAAATAATTAAAATTAAAAATAAATATTATTTAATTAAAATTGAAAAAATTACGTTTTATCACAATATATATATATATATATATATAATATGAACAATTTTTTTTTTTTTTTTAAAATGGAGAGTTTCTCTCCATCACATGGTGAGAATCTTCTCCGTGTTCTTCCTTTATTTTTTATTTTTTATTTTTAAATTTATTTTGTTCATATTATAAATAAATTTTTTTCGATTAATTTTTTTTAAAATTCTTTTCTCTTTACGATAAAATTTACTTTTTAAATTTAATTAAATATTATTTAAATATTTTTATTTAATTTTCGTAACTTTCTTTTGTTTAATTTATTATATTTTTTTGAAAATTGTTTAAAATTTTTTTTCCTTTACATTATAAATAATTTTTTGTTCTATTTAAAATTCTTTTTAATTCTATTAATTTTATAATATAAATAATTCTTTTTTAGTTGAAGCTTTATCAGTGTCTATATGAACCTCTATTTATCTTGTCTAGTGCACTTCAACTGTTTATCTATAAAATTTTACATTTACCGATAAAAAAAGTATTGATTTTCCCAACTCTAAAACTCATCAAGTAACAATAAAAACAAAGCTTGACTAATTATCGTCATATCTTTTCTACATTATTATATACTCAATTACAGCATTTCACGTGCATCTTACTAGTATTTGATAAAAAAAAATCTAGTGAATTGCAAGAGGTCTGGATTAACAAAATTTTAAAGGAAAAAAAGCATGAGTGAACGGCAGACTTCGATCCAGTTTTAACACGATCCTCCTCTCCATACTAGGCACTAGCCAGCCTAGAGCACAATCAGAACAAACTGTCCATGAAAAAAGAGAAAATAATTAAATGGAAAAATTGAAAAACCATGTCACTCCCAAGTGCGAAGTTATTCCTCCCATCAAATTTCCACCCCTTTCATGAAGACACTTTGTCACATCTACATTATCCCTTGCTAGAATAAAAAAAAAAAAAAACAAAAAAACAAAAAAGGGAGAAAATAGATCAAAATAATAATAATAATAATAAAGATTAGATCAATTAACAGTGTAATACACATTAATACTCTTAGAATGTAGCTCCACGAGGAGCCCACACAAACTCTACTCATTAATTTATGGTCTAATCCCACCCCTAATTTCTTCTACAAAACAAGCACAAGATTAAAAAAGAAAAAAAAATATTCTTGTTGGCAAATGGGAAGGAATGAAGAGATCTAGCACTTATAATTGAAATCTTGTGAACCTTGGACCAAGTATGAGATTCTTAATTCATTAGACCAAGCAAACTTCTGATCTGCCTCCAAAAATGATTTCATGTGCCAGACAATGTTCTCCAAGAGTCTACTACGATGCACATCAATCGTGGAGTAAGGTGAGGCAAACAACGACGGCCGACATATGTTCTAGATCAAATCATGTCCGTCTAATCACTTGACGGTACTCGATAAATTTCGAAAATATAAAAGTTCCACATAACCATTTCTTACCAAATTCCAAGAAAAAAAATAACCATAAATTACTTAAATAAATTTGCACAAAATACAATAAATATCATTACTCAAAATCCCTACTCTTTCTAACAAGTGCAAAATACCCAACAACAGCACAAAATGCAGCAACAACATTCCCTTCTTTGATCAAAATCTTAATCACAAACCCAGTGATTTCGCCTGTCAATTTCTTGCCCTCAACCACCAGATCCCTTCTGGGCTTCCCACAGAAAGTCAAAAGAACAAGAACAGTGATCCACGTCACCATGGTGGCCGGCACCGCCACGGCCAACGCAGCCACCGTCGACAGAATCCCAAAGGCAATTCCCAATAGCCCAGATGCATAAAGGGCTTCAAAACCAGTTGAAATTGAAGAAGATGATTCGTACTTTGAAAGGACAGATTTTAGGAACTCCCAAGACAGGGAAAGTAAAATTGCGTAAACGGATATGAATAGGAATACCCATGTTTTTCTTTTGCTCATTAGTTTTATGAGTAGTATGGAGGAATATGACTGTTGTGGTGGTAACGGTGGAGACGGCGGCAACGGTGGTTGCGGGGTTGAGAGTTTTTGTTCTACGGTGGATTCTACCATGGTCATGGATGCTTGAGGTTTTATGTGGGGACCGTTGAATTCAATCTTGATTGCTTTGATTTTTCAGGTCTTTTTTGGTGTTTGAGGGTATTGCGCAGGTGATTTACTAGCAATAGATAGGTGAATAAAATTAATAGACGCGCCTGATTATTAAGAAAAGTGCGTCACAGTCCATATTCTTTTCTCAACTCTCAAGTTTCAAATGAAAGAAAAAAGGAATAAGCCAAACGTCCATAGTCGGAGACAGGGCAAAAAATAGGGTGCACACGTGGCGTCCCTCTATTGGAGGGTCGGTTATTTGGCTCCCCCCTATTGGAGGGTTGGCTGTTGCCTGTAGGGTTGGTTGTCCCAACAGCCGATAGCCGACCCTCCAATAGAGAGGTGCGACGTGTGCGCCTTGTTTTTGAGCCTGTCTCCCACTATGGACAGAAAGCAGAATTGAAGAAAAAAAAGGGGGCAATAAAGAGAGAGTGGACATTTTTATGCCTATGCCTATGCCTTGTCTTTGTAAATTGGGGTAATTTGTTAAGCCTAATGTCAAGTCGAAAGAGTGTAATGGTTGAGCAATACAAAATAAGTTATAATTTGATTATAGCATGTTGAATCCTGATTACTTAAATTAAGTTGTCCAGAGTATTATTTTTGTGGTTGAACATCGAGAATGAAGAAACACTTTTATAACAAAAATAAGAAAGAAATGTTTCCGAGTATTTTAGAGATAAATTTTCTTGTGAATAATATTTTTTATCATCTAGAATGACTCACATGAGTCGACGTACCCGACAATTGGTGGCAACCTTCTTTTTCTACAATTCGGACTATATCGAAACGATACTAGATCAAGGGCAAGTTTGCAAATTGAATAATGCTACAAGTACATGATTTTTTGACAGAAATTTTTTACAAACACATGGCGCAACATCATTGGAAGATGAGAAAAAAAGAAAAAAATAGTCCAATCATATTTTGTTACATCAATATCGGTACAAGTTATGTTAAAATTTTTCTGTACTCATGACTTTATTATCACATATAAAATTGACCAAACAATTTACTCGGACAATAAATCCCTATTTGGTTACCGTTATTTCAAAACTCTTTTCCACATACACATTCATATCATAAAATATTGTACATGTAAAACCAAAATTTTCTCAATTACTTAATGACACATTCTCCAAAAATTCATTATTCAAAACTTTATTTTTCCCTAATAATTTCCATCAAATGGTGTGAGTCCTCATTTAACCACCGTTGTTACAAATAAGATCATTGCAAACAAACAAACAAACAAACAACGCCCCTGGGGCATAGTGCAATGGTGCAAAGAACAGAAGTGAGATTATTTTACGCCTTGCTGGCAGCCGCAGTGTGAAGGCTTGATTTCTGATATATGAAATTGAACTCCTTATAGGCGCAGTGTACAGACAACTCTTGTTCCTGGTCTGTTGGGACACATCTCACGATTTACCTTCCTCATAAAATTCTAAGAGTGGGGCGGTGGGGGCCCTCAAGGTTGGGGTTCAACGTTTTTTTAGTTTTTTATTTTATTTAAAGATCATTGCAAACAAATTTCTGATCACTATAAGACAATTACTCGTACTAGCACTATGGATAATATTTCTATTATATCTTCAGCACTCTTTGACACTATGATTATAACACCACATGGTAAGGCGTGCTAAAAAATTCTCATTTCTTACAAAATATGAAGTACAGAATCTTATAAAGTAGAGCCATTTCTTAGCTTTCGCAGAATGACAATTGGACTATTCAATCTTTAAAATTTGAAAAAGGTTTAGCATGTGACGGTGCCTTGAATGGTAAGAGAAGCAAAGGACCACCAATTTGGACTTCCGTTTTACATTAAAAAGATTTCTTAGCAATGCCAAGAAAAAGGAAAATTCAAAGATCGAATTTGTATGGACATTAATCTCCACGAATAAAAATAGAGATAGCAAAAAAATTTGTCCCGCCCGAATAGTGCCAAAAAGACCCACCTTGATGGGTTGGCGGGGCGGGGTGGGGTGTAGGTTGCCACCTCGTCTTGGGTCTTGGGGAGGGGATGCTCCACCCCGTGAAGCAGGAAAAAAAATAAAAATTAATTACAAAAGGCAACTCTAACCTAATAACTTCCATCTTTCTCTCAAGCCCACAATCTCTCTGTCACTCACCGGCCGCGACCTCTCTTATTTTCTCCAAACCTTCCATTCCAACCACTGAAGTCACACCAAGTCTCAAACCACCCTCCACGAGCAATCCCATCAGCTCTTTTTTTCGGCTCTTGATGCCTACAAGCAGGGCCGGTTCTGTGATTGTCAGGACCCGAGGTAAAGCCTAAAAATTGGGCCTCCCTCCTGAAATCAATGTAAATGCAATAGATAAAGTATATATATATATTGGGTCTGAGGCATAGGCCTCATTTGCCTAGCCCCAAGACCGGGCTTGCCTACAAGCTCAGATTCTTCTACTGAAAGCGCATTTCCTTTTTGATCATATGGGAGGTTGTTGACGACAACTGAATTCGAGCCTTGCTGATTAAAGGTATTATTGAACTTGTATCAATATCTATCTGCTATGCCCCTCACCCGAAAACCTTGATGTTTATATTCTGTATTATTTTTGGAATTTTTGATGTTTAGATATTTGGTCGATTAAAAACTTATCTTATTTTGCTATAATACATAAGTTATTTATTAATTGTATGAGTCTATTTCTTAAACTTCATTAACCTTACATTATGCAACTCAAGAAGTAGATCCATGTTTTTCTATTTGGGCAATTGCCTTGTCTTCAATATGTGGATTGACTTTGATTATCATTTGGCCTATAATTTATAAATAACTAATCATTTGAATTCAGTTGGATCCTAATATCATTATGTGCTCTGCTTTCAAATGTTGAAGATGGCTGTACGCTGTGGTGAAGGTTGGTTCAGCTGGCTCGACTTTACTTACGTGTGGTTTTGTAGAACATGAACTATAATTGTTACTGTTTGGTTAATTTCTTGATGTGGGTTGAGTTTGAACGCAATAGTTAATCTTTTTACTGTATCCTAGTCCATGAAATCCGTGTTATAAATTTTTTAGGCAATTTTTATTTAGAATAGTTTCTTTGTGAACTTCATAGTTCAATGTGTTGCTTGATGATTCTTCACTTGATAGTGCTGATTAGAAAGGGCTATCATTGCTGTGTGCTGCATACGAATTCTGAGTTAAGGATGGGAATTTTCTTATTATTTATTTTACATTTGCACTATCAGCATCCAGTATACATTGGTGATTGTCATGAATTGTTGAAGTTTAGCTAATAGGTGTGCAAAAGCAATAACATTTTCTCCCACATTCGGATAAAATTCATTGTGTTTAATGTCATTTGTTATTTGTACAGATGTTTGGCCCAAGTAGTGCTAAAAGTATTGGATTAGGACCAATACGCATGGAAGATAGCACGACCAATATATCAATGAGCAATATCCCACAAGAAGATCCAGCTGAACCGTTACCAAATGCGGATGAAAGGCCAATAAACCTAAATGACGAGGAGCGCTAGTTGGAAAACTATCTTTCGGAAAGAGGAAATTGATCACATTGGATTTTGAGAGTTCTTGCACGACCTGCAACCTAAGGTTCCTTCTTGCAATACTTTGAAAAGCGTCATTTTGAAAATCTATGAATACGAGAAAAGAAAAAAATATGATTGCACTTGAGAAGATTGATAGTCAAATTTTGATTACTACCGACATGTGGACCTCTCCTAATCAAAAGAAATGATTCATGGTTGTTCACGAAATATTTTCTTTTGATTTAAAACTACCACAAGTGTACGGTTCGTTAACAAGTAATAAAGTGGATTAAATGAGTCTGAATATCGTCCCACAGAGATTGATTAGTTCAAATTTTATCTTTCGTAGCCTTAACCGAAACTAAATTATCAAAGTGAATGTAGACCTAATTAAATCCTAATTTTGGAAAGAAACCCAAATTATGCAAATTTTATGATTGAATTGAAATTAATATGCAAAACAATATTTTAACACTCTAAAATGAAATCAAATGTTGAGAACGCACGTTGTTGTAATTAATAGGAATTAAACACACTAGGATCATGATTTCCCATGCAATTATCACTTTAAACCCTACTTTAACAATATGACAACACACTTCAATTTTTGACGAATCAATGTTCCTAAATCTATCTAATACTCTCTCTCGAGATGTATCGAATCTATTTCTACATACCACTGGCCTATATTTCTATGACAAGTGCATATGTAAAAATGCATGCAGTTTTATGAACACTTAAAGATTCACGTAAGGCATAGCGGTATATTTCTATCCCTTATCAGACCCTACGATGATTTATATTATGTCGAATTTATTTCAATTCTCTCGAATGCAAGAATAAATCACCCAAACTCACATAATTACGGGCCCTTAATTGCGGAAACAATAATTGCATATAAATTATTCAAAACAATATAAATATGTCTTAATGTCAAATTGCAAAACTAGAAAATTAAAGATCTAACTACATGGTACATCGATCTTCTAGCACATGAGAATCTAGCCTAACATAGTTAAAATAACAGAATACATCACGTTTTGAATAAAATGTATCACCGGGATATGAAATCTTGAAGCTCTTTGTGCCAATCTTCGTTCTTGCGCTCAAAATCCTCTCCAAGAAGTATTTTTCTGCCTCCAATTATGTTCTGCCTCTTTTTGAACGTTTTTTGGTATTTATATAGCGTGAAAATTAGGTTACCAAAAGAGTTTCAATCGACAAGGAAAGTAAAATTTTCGAGTCGGAAACCTACCATGCGACCGCATGGCTTTAATCCGTGCAGCCGCATGGTTATGCCATGCTGTCTTCAGAATCCCTCGCATTCGTTCGTGCGACTGCACGAGAGTTCTACCATGCGGTCGCATGGTAGATTCTAACTTTCATTTTCTCCAATTTGGTCCCTCTACTTGAATCTTTCACTTCTTGACATCTTTTCTTCATTCTCTCCATTCCATCATCCCAAGATATCATCAATTGGCATTTGGCTCAATCAATTTCTTGATTTTTTTCATCGGGTCAACTTTTGGATAATTACACTTTGGTCCCTGAACTTTCACTTTGAGTCATTTTAGTCATTTTTCGCTTCTTTTCTCCTAAATTTCACCATATTCATCGGTGTTTCCTTCAATTTACAAATGTAACGAAATTAAGTCACAATTTAATCATTTTGCTCGTAATTAAGTCATATTTGTGACCTAAATAAGTGTACAAAAATACACTTATCAAACTCCCCAAACTTAAACTATTGTTTGTCCTCAAACAAGATAGTGACTTAATTATGAACAAACATGGTTTAATACCCTACTGTGGCTCAGGATTAGACTAAGTATTTGACTTTATGAAAATTTATCAGTGCAAAAATGCCATCAACTTTTACTAGTTAAATGCATACTTGACGTGTGTGTGTGTGAATTCATGCCAGCATATCAGGTTCATGATGAGTTTGAGTCCCGACCCCAAGTGGTCAAATGTATCCTTACTCGCTCGAGAGATACACAACCCCCCAAACTTATTCTTTTCACTCAATTATTCTTGAGTTGTGTTTTAAAATTAGGAGTTTACATAGCTATAGCCCTCACCCTCTCGTAGTTTGGATTAATCTCATTATCACAAGTTTACATGTCAACAAGTGAAGGCTCTCCTAAGTTTGATTGCTTCGACACTCAAGATTAAACTAGGTTACTTGTCCGCCTCTAAGGTATAGTTTCTTCAACCAAATATCCAAGGACTTTTCTTCATGTTATTGTCTCTCTTTTGTTTTTCTCACTTTTCTCTGATTTTTCTGATTTTTTTAATTATCATCTTCTTGTTTGTTTTCTATATAACCCATGTAACGAGTTTTAAGCCGGTGACTCCCAAACCAGTTGGCTTTAGAGCACTAGGTTTTAAAGCCTTGCATACTTATTCATTCGAGTTATAAAGGCTCGATCAAATGACTTTTTATTAACATCTTTCCCTCTTGCTTTCTATATGCCCCATGAATCGAGCTTTGGGCCGGTGACTCCCAAGCCAGTTGACCTTAGGGCATTAGATTTTGAAATATCTTTACAGGCTTACTTGCTCGAGTTATAAAGGCATAAAAAGAAGTGTCTTATTCTCACATATTAATTTTATGCCATTTGTTGTTTTTCTAGACATTTAGTTTCCAAAACTAACCCCCAATTTAAAATTTTCACCTACTCTTCATCCCACTGGTCTAGACAATCCACATAATAAAATTCATGCACAGAGCCTCGCTCATCTCAATGCTCCTCTATAATAGCTCAATCATCACCAAATTGTCTTAAAGTAGTTTATGGGTTAATTCAATAGAAGGTTATCATTCTTTTCCTACTTTATGCTCAAAATTCAGTCATTCACCTAACATGTCAAGGATGAATAGCCTGCATAGATAACGTTAAGTGTTGCATCAACAAGTATCGGTTAGTTTAATTAACACTAGATCCAAAGTTTTGCAGTTTAAACTAGTCCAATAATAACATCATAGCTAGCAAGGTTATCACGCCCACACAAACATGCATGAAAAGAATTAAAACAAACAGAATAAAATGCAAAGATTTTTTTTATAACACTCATCATGTACACATTATGTAATAATAGAATACAGATACTGATGAACACAGATAAAGAATTAAAATTATGTCACCACCCAAAATGTAAGATTAACGAAAGATTGAAGACATAATTTTAAGGACAAAATGAAGAAGAAAAATCAAAATTGGGTAAATAGTACCCCCTAGATCAAAATGGATGAGGTGGCGAAAAACTGGGTCCTGGTCTCCGCTGATTCCCGTAGTGGTGGAGAATATCTGTCTCAGCAACTGAGTATCCACATCAGCCTGTGGTGCTGGAGCCTGTGGGAGTTCTTGATTTGTAGAGACCGGGCCTTGCTCTGCTTGCCGTCTACAGCGCTCATTTTCTTGCTCTTCCTTATGTTTAACCCGAGCCCTTGCTTGAGCTTCAAATGTAGTACATTTGATCATGGGGCTAGGTTTTTCAAGTACCTCCTCAAATAGGAGTGCAACACCCGCAGCCCTACATATGCCACTAATAAGGCTCGGGAATATCAGAGTGGAATGACGATCTCTCCAAGTTCCCAATGTATGTAGTTGATTGTATATAAGAGTGGTGAGATCTATCTTGTTACCCCGAACCAAGTGGTAGATGAACCCCGCTGTCTGATCAGGAAATGTAGTCTTGTGTGATATGGGCTTGATATTGTGGCACATGAAGAGCCATAGAATGGCTATGGATGGGGTAAGCTCGATCTGATGCCACTCGGTAGTTGTAAGGGGCCATGCATTTTCCTGCCCCATCAAAACCTCAACCACTTCATTCCAGTTAAATTCAACTGGGATAGGGATCACATTCTCCACGGTGAGCTGGTCGTAATCATGAATGACCTCGGGAGAGAACATAATCCACTTCCCCCATACCCAAGTCTGATGGAAATGCTCGAAACCTGGCGTGTCAATTTCACTGTTGAAGTTGGCGAAGAACTCTCGGCATAGAGTCTCATAGATTGAATGTGGTCGCTCCACCAACTTGTGCCACCCATAGATCTGAACTAAGTTGACCAACTCAAAACCTGGGAAATCATCAAGCTTAAAGGGTCTTTTAGCGTGTATAGTCTAATGGCGTATGATATTCTCATATCGTGTCGCGGTTTCTGAATTTAAGAATCGCCAAACTTCCCCCGCAAGCTCTCGAGTACGGGCTGTCCCGATAGAGGAGCTTGCTTTTTCTTTCCCATGCAAAGTTCTCTTAGGAGACATCCTGCAAAGTTTGTAAAACTATACTCATTAAGTTTGATGTGAAAAGAATAGGCATAGAGTGAGAAAATAAAGTATGCATTGCACAAATCCCCCAAACTTGCTTCAAAATGCATGTATATGACGTTGATGTGTAAAATACATGATACATGTTCCAAGATAGTGTTAGTATCAAAGAAATGTGAAACACCAACAAAAATTAGCTCAAAACATACACTTTGATAGAAGTAACCCATGACCAACCTAGAACTTTCACCGTCGGGCATCGCCTAGAAAATTGAAATTTTCCAGAGTAATCTCCAGGCATATGAAAGTGTCCATACTATTCTAGTACATATCCAAATTTCAAGTCAAATGGATGTCGTTTGTGTTGGAAAAATACGGTGCAAAATGGGTGAAGTGAGGTGCCGTGACGTGACCTAGTCATGTTGTGCCTACAAGTGTTGCCTACGTATCGTCAAGTTTGGTTCTTGTACTTTCCAATTCATGTGTTACGGGAATTCATCACATTACCCCACTCTCATTCATATATTACTCATGTCAATGCATAGCATGTATACTATGTAGTTCAAGGAATTTATTGAGTGGGTAAACAAGCTCTAGCTGAACAGTACATATTGCAACCATATTCACGAACCCCTCAACTGTTATACCCCATCACTTCAACAAGCAGAGAGAGCATCAACGTTATTCACATCCCAGTTTGTATATCCAATGCTCAAATTCACCAAAATGCATAACTCATTTCACATTGACAATTGATCAAACATGTAGCATGTCATTGTATAGGATCTCTAGAATTTCAACAATTGGAGTCTAAGTCATGCCAAAATGACACAATTTAACAATCTAGCATCTACTATTATGAGATAAGTGCCTTTCAAGTTA